TGTTAAGACACAAAAGTAACAGTTTGGCTAAATGACTGGTGAGAAGGCCTGGAGACAACAGTAAAGAAGTAAATGCAAAGCTAACATTATTAACTAGACAGCTCATGGATTAATCGTAAACAGACTTGATGCTTAAGGGAGAATATTTCTTTGGCAGACTATGAAAGTATCTATAATACAGTGATATGAAGATGTCCAAAAGATCCTGCAATATATAAATTCATATTTAAGAATATAGATGAGAGCTTTTCATGAAGACTTGAAAACCACCAAGAATATAGCTAGAAATTGAAATTCTAAGCATAAATGATTAACCAGAGAAGTCTTGCAAAGCAAACAGAGCAGGTGGCAGAGGACAAAATCCTGCAGAGCACCAATAATTATGGAAGAAATCATTAAAGGGCAAAAAGTCAACAAAGTGAGATCAGCAAAAGAGGTAGCAAGGAATACCACTGTGGACATGAAGGGAGGGTCCTAATGTGAAAGAGGATGTAAAGTTTAATGGGCTAAACAATTTCTGAATGGAGATTACCATTAGCATCTTTGTCTGCAGCAATATCAACTGACTAGAGGGATCAGATGCTGAGGGAAAGTGAATCAGAAAAAAAGTGGTAAAGATGTTTTTTCAATAAATATAAGTTTGAGAAGGCAAAGAGAATGCCAAAATTAACAGCATGGGAAACTGGGATATTTTAAAATTCTGTTGAAGTCTTCTCCCTTTTAAGCATAGTAGTAAAGCCAATCATGTCTACAAGGTAATGGAAATTAACCAAGGAAGCAGGAATGGTCTAAGGCACAAGACAGAACAGAGATGGTGGAGGTCTCCGAGAATGCTGGACATAAGAGAACAGTAGACAAGTTATCCTTTCCTTTGATTGATGAATACATGTCCTTCAGGAACTAGCTCAGGGAGAATAATACAAAGCATTAGAGATTAGTTTAGTGATGGTGGGAGGGAAGCTGTGGAAGCACAAACCACACACCACTATTTTTTGCAGTAGAGTAGGTAGTTAATCATCTACTCATAACGGATGTTCAGGGTTAGGGTGAGAAGGCCCAGCAGCCACTGAAGTAAATGGAGCAAAGCTCAAAAGGAAGGATGCCTGCCAGAAATGAATCCTACCAGTTTTTGCCATCAGATCTAACCCAAGCTATGAAGAACTACAGTTTTAAAACTGAATAGACTCCTATTAAACTATTGGACATATCTAGACAATGGGATGCTAGACTATATGACATCATCTGTACCAGCAATGTCGGGGCACACTTAAATAACAGACTGATGGACTTATGAGTGCTTATGAAAGATTATAGTATTGTAATAATATGGGGAAAATCAGTCATGGAGTGGAAATTTGGGGTGGAAGAGGGGAAATCCCAGACCCTATGGAATTGTACCATAAAATTTAAAAAATAGAATAGAATAAAGCAAAATAAAATAAATTAAACTGAATAGAATTAGGCTCAAAAAGGAGCTCTCGCAGCAGGATGTGGCTTCTCTGGAGACTGTAATGTAAGGTCGAAGTTAAAGTGCAGTATCCACAAATTATTTAATTCTTAGAGTAATCCCTATGCTTGGATTTGAAAGTGGATATCCTTCTATGAATGAAAGGAGTCAGCCTAGAATTAGTGGTGACAAGTTAAAGTCAGTAACATCCAGGTTAAACGTGGTAGCATTTTAAATATGTTTTCTACTACTGAGAGAAATTTTTTTTTAAAAAAAGTGTATATTCTAAGCTATACGTTAAGTGACCAAGAGGTATACAGTCTATGCCCAAGCAGGTGTTACAACATTCACACACAGGACAGGCTCATACTTGTTTGAAACGCAAAAGGCATTTGCAAAGCCTTTTGCCTTGCCTATACCATGAGTGTGGTATATATCCAAATATGCACAATCTCCTAATCTCAGCCTTAAGCCTGAGGGATGACTGAATCTGCTTCAAGTTGGTACTGAAATTCTCAAATTTCTATTTCCTGTTTTAATTCTATGTAACCACCAAAAGGTAAGATCCAGACTCTATTGTTAGTCCAGGTACATCAATATTGCTTCCTGGATGCTCTGTATCTTTTACTTTAGTGCTAGTAGGAAGTTAGCAAATTGATCCCATATATTATTCTCATATCATAGAGAAATATTTGCACTAGTATACAAGTGAAGGTTACCTTTCTGATAACCCAAGAGTGCATTAGACTGAGATGTAAGACTTAAAAACACAAGATGTTTTATCCTCTACAAAAAATTATAATAGCCAAAAACCTAAACAGCAGCTAAATGGTTATCTGAAAATCTTACCACACCCCAAAAATAACATATTAAAAACAATGCCTATAGTCACCATAGCAGAATTCACAGTAAGAAACACACTTTATTTTGATCATTTATATTAGATTTAGAACATTTATCAATTTTAGAGCAGAGCATCTATTTTTCATCTTTAGAACCTGCTCTTTGAAATCTCCTTTAGCAACTGAGTAGAAAACCAAAGACATCTGCCAAAACAGAGATGACAGTATGAGCAAGTGTCCTAAGGGTTGACATTTAGCATAATGCTTTAACACACTGTCTTGGCCCCATAAATAAGGACGTGTAAGTGGGCATTTCCTTCGCAGGATAGTATCTTGTGTTTAGACATAATATACTCCTCACCAAAAAAAAATTTTTTAATTTTAAAAAGTCAAAACATTACTAGACTTAGACAACAAAAATAATACGCATTTCTAAAGATGTTATCATGGATACCTCTAATTTAAAAGACCCTTTTTGAAAGAAGAAAAATCGTTCAACCACTAAGCATACTGTCACTAATTTAAGGTTTTTCTTTCTGCTTTTGTTTTGTGTTTTACTAGTTAATGAATACAACTGGCACTCCTAAATGGGAAGTGGGGGCAAGACAGGAGCATAATTGTGTCCACATCTTGTAGGTCATAATGGCTTGAAGTTGGTCTGAGACCGAATGAAAAGAATATCAAATCATATCTTTTTCACAAAGGTCACTAAAACTGTCGTAGATACCAGGAAACGGTCTCTGGTCACAGTGCATCAGAAACGAAAATGAAAGCAAAATCAAACTTGAGAACAAACGAATGTACAAAGCCATGCACTCCTCGCTCGACAGGCTGCCTTTTGCCTCCCCAACCTATGGTCTACATCTCACTGTGCTCAGAGACTGTTAACATCTCTTGCTATAGGGCCTCTTGAAGCTACATGTTAAGCATACAAACATCCATTTTATCTAATGAGAAACAAAAACTTCCTGTTTTATATTCAACACTTAACACAAGTATGTGAAGCTTGCCTTTTTTTTAGGCTAATAAGTTACAATAACATGCCATAAACTGTGAATACTATGAGGCTGTAGGAACTATGTATAAAATGAGCTCTAAGTAACATGAATCTGAACCATTCTGTAAGAATACCTAACAGAATCCTTGTCTCTCAAGTACCATTCCAGCGGTCCTCTCTAATCTACCTGAAAATAGGCTCCCGTTCCTAACTAGTGCAGGGTTCACACTTCGTGCTACACTGCTGAGTCTTGCAGCGGAGGGCCTGAATTAGTGATGTTATGTTCCATACTGATACCCGGCTTGCTAGGAAGGTTCTGATGAGACAACAGGTATCTGAGAGCAGCAATTATTTTAGCTACTGTGAATGATCGTGATGGCAGCAAGCATACTAAAGACAATGACAGGGAACATCAACCATTTAGATAATAGAAGTCGGGATTATCACCAGCTCCAACCTCCAAGGAGGTTTGGGGAGGGGGCAGTGCTGCTCAGGCATCTAGCAAACAGCTCCAAGTCAGACCTTTATGAATGGCATACCGAGGCTAATCAATTTAAAATCGAATTAACTTAGCACTCTAGGGTAGCGTCGCTGTTTCCTGGTCCTTATACTCAATTCTGAATCTTACAAAGTTCACAAAAGGCTCCTTACATACAACGTGACAGACGGACTGTGCAGACCCAAGAAAATCCTTATTGCTTCCTCAGTTTTTACAAACGAAGCACATTTAAAAAAAAAAAAAAAGGTAAGGAAAGAAAGAAAGAATAAGGGAAAAAATAAAGAGAGCGAAATGGATTCCAGAAGCTCTAGGGGCAGAGGGCAAAAGCCTTTCGGTGCTGAAAGACACCAAATCCCACTGTGCAGCACGTGTGTTTTAACCTGAGGTTACTGTCTTCATTTTTCAGGCAAAATATGGGTAACTTTATAAACGGGTTGACCATGTAGAGAGGGGAAACTTTAAGATGCAATCTGGAATGTGGTTTTAATACCCTCTGCTGGGGCGTGGGACGTTACGAGAAGGAAGAGTTTCGAGGAAGCTTGTTTTTAGGATTAAAAACAAAACAGAAAACACAAGGCCAGGAGATTATCATGCTTCAACGTCGGGTGGAAACGAAACTTAACCTTCTCCTTTGCTTCCCTTTAGCTTCGCGGTGCATGTAGCAGAAATCCCCTCTGGCTGACTTGGCCAGAGTGCGCACTTCCCCCTCCAGAGGCCAGGGGGCCCTCCCAGTCTCCATGCTCCAATCCCTAGAGCATTTACGTACAGAGGAGCGGGTGCGAAACAGGGGCTCCCCGACCACTGCCACCCCCTTTCCTCCAGCCGCTCGGTTTTGCAAGCTGCGCCGTTTGGAGTCATCTGAGGCGCATGCATTCAGAGGTGGCGAACGGGGCGGGAGCGGGGGAGGGAAGGAGCCCCTTCTCACTCACGGGGGAGGGGAGAGGAACGGAATCAGAGAGAGAGACAGAGAGAGAGGAGAGAGAAAGAAAGAGAGAGAGAGACAGAGAGAGAGGGAGAGAAAGCGAGAGAGAGAGAGAAAGAGAGAGAAGGGGATCCCGGTTCCCCGGGAGCTCTTCCACGTCCGCACTCCAAGCACCCCCGACCACCCTTGGCGGGCTCCCCCGGGTGGCGCGGGTACATCTCCCACGGTTTGCGGGGGCGCCCGCAGGGACGCAGAGAGACACAAGCCAGGGCTGGGACCCAGAAGCCACTCACCGCAGCACGCCGAGCCCAGCAACAGCGCCGCCACCAAAGGCCACATCTCCGCGCCACCGGGGGTCGCCGCCGCCGCAGGTGTCTGGAGAAGCCGCTGCCGCCTCCTCGCATGCAAGACCGGCCGCCGCCAACAGTCACAGGCACCACCAACAGCCCAGGCAGCCCGGCCGCGCGCACGCTCGCTCCCGCCGCCGCCGCTCCCCCGCACGCGCGCGCCACGCACTCGCGCTCCGCCCCGCGCCGCGCCGCCCTCCCCACGCCGGGGGTTGGGTCCTTGGTGCTGCCCACTGCGCCGCAGCCCACAGCCCGCGCCTGGGCGTGGCGAGCGGGGCTGGCGGGTTCCTTCGCGCGGCTCCCACCTCCGCACGCCGGGTCCAAGTCATTGTGCCACGTCCCCCCTCCACCGGAGATTCACGGTCCACCCTCCACGTTTCCTCCCCGGGCTTCACTGCCACCCTCACGCTTCGGGACGCCAGGCGCTGCGCACTGCGACCTCGGAGCCGCAGCCCCCACCAGCCTAGGGGCTTCGCCTCCTCCTTGGGTCCCTAAGCCAGCCAGCGCGCCCCCGGGCGTGTTCACCACTCTCACCGCGCCCCGGGCGTAGCCTAGTTTCGGGGATCTCACACCCTCAGGCTGAGATCAGCGAGCCCAGGGGCGCCACCCTGGGGCCAGGCCCTGCCACCCACTCTCCCCTCGCCAGCTGCGCTCCGTTGGCGGGCTGCGCTTCCTTCTTTCACACTTTGTTTTTCAGTGTTTTATTGTCAGCGTAGGGTTAATCGAACAAGTTCCATTTCGGTGGTAAACAGCTTTAAATGTGGTGAGCACTGAGCTTGGTTCTCCAGGGCACCGTGTGCAGGCTTCTGCAACCCTTTGGGTATATGGACTGCTTGAAAAACGGGTTCAAAAATGTGGCTGCAAGTCGCAAGATGGACAAGGCCTTTCAATAGAACACTGAATCACTCAGTCCACATCTTTCATCCTGAAGCAAGAGCCCTTTTAAAGCTACCTTTAACATTTATCCTGAATGATGAACTCTCTTGTCAAAAAGTCAGGCTCTGGTGGCTGCTTTTAATGGGGTGCCCAGCCTGTCCACTCCCTTGATTGTTTTTCTCTTCCCTGCTGGAAAAGAAAGCAATTTCCCACTGCAATATCCCCCTTCTCCAAAACCCAGAGCTTCCCTTTCCAGGCACCCCATTTCCGCAACATAAAAGTCAGGAAATAAAATTGTCTCTGCTGGGATACTTTGTAGCAGGGAATTGGACACTGTGACTTTGTAGTGTGTGCGTGTGTGTGTGTGTGTGTGTGTGTACCTCTTACCCACACCATTAGCAATCCTTCGAAATCACAGAGAAAGCATTTTAAGTAGTCCCTCCTCCCAAACGTTGAGTTCACCTGAACAACAAGAAAAAAAAAAAAAAAAAGAACAGGGATTTGCTATGTATCCTAATGTGGCTTGAGGCAAAGCTTTGCTCTAGTGAAATTTGATTTCTCTTCTTAATGATTGAAGCAAAAACTGTTGTCTTGCAGACATCTCAGTGAAACAATGGTTAATAATTGAGCTGCTAATGATTTGAATGGCTGCCTTGACACCCTGAGGCTACCAAAAGGACTGATCGATTCTCCTCCAACTGCTGCTTACAGGGATACAAAAGAATCGTCTGCCAGTCTTTGACCATTCGGGACATTGTGTTTTGCAGAGCAGCTGGTTGACTAAATAAGGCTGTCAGCTGTCCCTGAAACCAACCAACCCTCTAAAACGGAAGGATGCCTGGAGAGGACTATCCCCAACTTTCAGGAGTTCGTATATCCGATAATGTTCTGAATGATACCAGGAGGGGTGGAAGCTCTATACTGGATGCCTGTTTTTGTATAGACAATGGAATAGGCTTGAGTTGAATGAATGAGGAATTCAGCTGGGGTATGTACTGGTCCTGGAGCAAGAGGAGTGTGATCCACAACAACCTGCCTGAATCTAAATGGCTTCTTTCTTAGACAACCCAAGCTTCTTTCTGCAGTGTTTAGCCACCTGAAATGACTCCCTCTTCATGTTTCCGAGCAGTTGGATCTTGAGTTTGAGTCTGTCTTTTCATTAGTAAGGGATTTCTTAAGCGAAGTGAGGAGGGCATCATGCATATTAATGCTTTGGACCAAAGTAGTGCACATTAGCTGTGTTTCCTATATTAATTTTCCTAACAGCCCTGCCGAGGTAGATATTTTCATCCTCCTTTTAGAGATGGGGCAGCAAAGGTCAGGGGCATAATGAGCTCTTTACCCAGGGTTATATGTGATACTACTCTTTTATCTCGCTTGCCCATGTGCTTTTTTTTTCATACCCAGTGACATTCAATGTCACTTTTTCTTCAGAGATAAATATGTTGACATGCCTAAATAAGCACTGTCATCTTTATGGAGGAGGAAAATGAGGCTGGTCACATAGTCAGGAAAGAGACTACTATTGGACCAAACTTTACCTGACCTCCATACCAATGAAAATGTTCCCAGCTTTCTTTCTCAACTCATACAAATCCCCACATCTAGCATAACTGAACATCCACTTTTATTGTCCTCCCAAATGCATGTCTATATCCTAATACATGGTAGATGTTGTTACAATGTTTCCTAACATTTTCTATAGACACCATTATATCCTTATTGTGATTTTTCATTCGTCAGATACTTTTTGGCCCATATTTGATTATTTGATACGTGACCCTTTGTCATCAGAGGTGCAATAATTCTGGCCAATGTGATCCCACCTAACTTCTGCTTTATGTCAGGCACTTGTGTTAGCAACTCAGGATTGTTCCATGCCTGGACTATATTATATTCAGGCTTTTTCTGTTTCAGTCATGCTATTGCCTCTGTTCCATATGTTCTTGCTTATGTTTTCTTCTTCTCTCGTCAGCTCAGTGAATCCTGATGAGAGAGGACTCATTAGCAGAACTGGCGCATGTGATTATGGAGACTTGACTTTTTGTTGTTGTTGTTGTTGTTGTTGTTGTTATGTCTGGGCATCCAGCTTTTTGGGTGTGTGTGAAACATGTCAGTTTTGACTGGAAATACCCCCACTAACAAATCTAGAAATATTGCTCTATCAGCTATACCTACGTGTCTCTTAAACCAATCACCTTTATACCTGCAGTCTCCAAGGACTAACACAGAACCCATGGACTCCTCAGTGACTTGAATCAACCAAGAGAAGCAATAGTGTGGCATGTAGCTTATAGTCATTGTAGCCTAGTTGGAAGTTGCAGCTCAGACTACTTACTGTGAACCTGACACTAGTTAGTTAACCTTTCCAAACGCTCATTTTCTTACTTGCAAAAAAGGAATGATAAAAATAATAAGTTTCTCTAAATTTCTCCAAGAATTTAGTGAACTTGGGAAAGTGCCAACAAATTTGGTTGAAGTCAGAAGTGCCCATGTCTATGGTGAGTAAATACCCCTGAATTTGCCCCTTGCTGTTCTGTAAGGTGTTATTGGTGTCTCACCACGGTTGGTGGTCATGTCTCGCATACTCGCTTCAGAGCCCAGTGTCCCTAGTTGTTATTTCAGTTTGATCTAGCTACAAAAGCCAGGAGTCCCAGTTACGAAGTCAAGGAGTAGATACATAAGGCTCTGTGTGTCTGAAAAGGGGCTAGATTTGGATGGTTAGGGAGCTGAAAGATATTCTTGCACGGTTGGAGAGATGGTTTCTGCTCAGGGGAGCAGAAGGGAGGAGCCAAAATAGATGTTTTTCCTAGCCTGTGCTTCAATTAGAGGCACATACTAGAAGAAGAGAGTGCCTCAAGGTAGCAAGATGATGGAAGTGAGGCTTTTAGGTTGGGGACAGCCTACCACAGAGATGATAGTGTGAGGATGCAGATTTCCCTCTGAAGTCAGATGCTTTTGCCTAGAAAGAGAGATGCGGAGCCTACTCCTCCCCAAGCTGTTGCTGCTGGAGGCTGCTCACCAGGGGTGCCCATATTCATGACAGCTTGAAAGCACCAGAGAAAGCCAGCTCCCAGGTTAGGTGGTAACATCGCAGCAGGTGTGTTCTTTAAGAGCACACAATGTTTAGGGCCCTGGGAAGGCTCTTTTGCCTTGTGCCTACTTCTCTTCTTTGAGCGCAGATTACACACACATGGGCTGTGTACTGTGCACTCAGACCTCCCTGTGCTTGCTAATGCTGCTGCCCTAACAACCTACCACAGATTTAGAGCTGCACACAAACTCTGTGTATTATCTCACGATTCTGTGTGGTGTGTTAAAACTCCGGTGGGCTCAGCTGGTTTCTTCACTTTTTCTGATAAGACTAACAAAGGCTGGGTTGTCATTCCCCTGGAGAACCACAGTGAGAATCCATTTCCAAGTGTACCCTGGAGGCGGGGGCGGGGGATTAGGGCAGTAGCAGAATTCCAAGACCATAAAGCTGAGATCCCTGTTTCCTTGCTTTGCCACCAGGGGTGCCCATGGGATCTTCAGGGTGATGGCCTTTGTGAGTCTTAGGCCCCATCTCTATGAAGGACTCTTATGCTTTCCTCTTTGCTTTGACAAACTCAAGTGATTATGTGAGGACTGCTTGCTAATCCAGGATCATCTCCCAGTTTTAATACCTGGAATCTTAATCCAAGCCACACATTCTCTTTTACTAGTAAAGCAACAGTTGGCTTCATTTCCTGTCTGCCCCCTCCATCCTCATAGCAGTGCACTCTGAGAAGCATTGTCATGCCTAGTCTGCATATGGAGACACTGAGGCATGGGGACCTTCTTGTAACACAGTACTCAGTGGTGGTGTTGGGGTGGGCTCTTGCTTCAGAGTTCACTCTCCTCCCTCTGCCAGAAGAGGGAAGGGCAGAAAGTGCTGCTCTCTTAAGGCTTCCCTCTGTTTTTTCATGAGTGCTCCCTGTCAATTTCACAAAGTCATCACTGGGTCCATTGAAGAGCTCCAGCTCTCACTCTAGTCCCTGATTTGTGTGTCCATTGGGGGTCAGCAGTCAACAGGTAGCACTTCCACAAAGTCAAGCAGGAAGGAGTCCAAGAGGGCTGTTGACCAGGCTGAGGACGGGTTGTGAGGACGGAAAAACAGCAGGAACTGGAACAGCACATCAGCTATGGCACCCTGGGTCTAGAGGAGACTGAGGAAGTAACAGTCACCAAAACTCTAACAGGAAGCAGAAATGGAAGGAGGGGCACC